TTTGTTTTGTTTTTGTTGTTTTTGTTTTGGGGGTGGGATGGGAGGGAGCTGTTGTTGTCGGGAGTGTTTTATCCTACCTTACGTTCATTTACAGTGGTTGAATATTCTGAAAAGTAAATATAAAAAGTATTATAATGGACTGAAAACTGTTTCACTTCATACATACAGTAATTACTACTTGTTTGCTTTTTGTGTAACGCCGAACTCAGAAATGAGTGGCGGTCGGCACATATCAAATCTACACCCGATAATCGTGTGAGCAAGGTGAGCAACGAAGGGTTACAAAGAAACGTCGTCAAGAGGCTGACCAATGCATTTGCTCGCCTATGACAGCCTGCTTAGATGTTCGGTATTGTTATATCCCCACGGCGCCATCTCGTCACAAACATCTTTGAATAGGAGCATGGTTATTGTGTTATAACACTGTTGATTAATCGAAAATTAACTAATACAGCGCTATTTTAAAGCAGGACAAAATAACGACTATTTCGTCTAGGCAGCTCTCTTAATAACTCCAGAGACAATCTCTCGAGCTGTACAACGATCATCACATCCCTTTATACTGTACCCAAATGAACGAATATTGTATGTTGCTGATGAGCCCTCCCAGAATCAATAGGTGGAGAGCAGTTCAAGTGTTCGACAGTAATATTCGCATTTATGATAACATCATCGTTCCTGTCTTCAGCCATTGCGCAAATGTATTGTCCATAAAACCAATGGCAGCGGACACAACAACACTTAAAAGCAAACGGAATTGAACACAGCATCAATATCATCATTAAATCATCAATGATGGATGACAGCTGCAACTCCGGGAAATGTCCTATCGACATTCTTCCATTACGCCGAACAGATGGAATTTTTGCTATGTAATAAACACGCCTTGGGGGCCGTGGTGATTCATTTCAGCGGAGTGTCTGTGTTAGAAACTCTTGTTTAGTCCAGTCCAGTCGCCAATACTAGTATGTGGATAACGTCGTTGGTATTGCTTGATACAAGCTCTACCCTTTGCCATCAACTACCACACTGAACTTACCTTGTCTAGTTAGCTATCTCTTGAGCTAGTTACATGTAGTTGAGTGTTGTCCTTAAAATTACGAACACAATCTACATTGTGAATACACAATGTCATTTAGAAAGTCGCCAAATGTAACATTTGCTATATTTGGGATTACAGTTTCTTAGTAAAGTACAGATTCTAGTATTTTTGTTGGGTAAAGTCCTCAGAATCAGGCACCTAATCGCCGGCACACAAAGTAAGCCGTCTAATCAACTCAGACACCAACTCACCCACCGCGACGTCCACATCAATGACAACTGGTTCTCTAGACCACGGACTTTGGGTACCCCTCTGATGAGTGTAGGCAGCGGTGGCTGAGCGGGTTGTTTGCTGGCGATTAGGTGCCTGACTCTGAGGATGTGGGTTTGGGACTCAACCCAACAAAAGTACTAGAGTCTGTATTTCACTAAGAAAGTGTAATCCCAAAGATGACATATGTTACAATCTAAATTGTCCCCGAAAAGAACCAGCCTTGCAAAAATCCCGCTTATAATTTTGTACCTGCCGTAAGGCCTTTACAAAGGAGGAGGAATAAATTCTTGTAAACTCGTAGAACACTCGTTAACTGAACATGAGCATGTTTGTTTAAAAGCGTTGGTATTTGTTTAAGGCACATACTACTTCGAACCAAATGTAGAAAAATGGAGGAGGACATGAAGGATGCCACGCACTTATGGGCAAAGATCGAGAAATAATATCCTCAAGGCGTTGTACAGTGTGACAAATCTATATTCTACCTCACATTACTTCTACGAGTCCATGGAATTACCAGTAACGATTCAAAGTAGATTCCTCACTTCAAACTCCGAATATTGATTCTGCAAAGTTAATGTTTACATGTTCTTACATAATCGTACAAGAAGCCATTAGTTTTTCAGTGTTCCCAATCACGCAGTTTTAACATCAAGTTGCACCAGACCACCAAAGAACCACCAAAAGCACTCCACTAGTCACTTGGCGATATTGTATTTCTCCAAAGATCACACAAAATGCATAAACCATGTTAACCAGTAATCGATGTTTTTCATTGACTTTCTTAAGACTGGGAAGAAGCAGGAGGTATTTGAGTGGATATTGGGAGCGCCAAGGGTTGTGAAGACAAAGAGTTTGTTTTCCTCAGCAAATAGAGCAAAACTCTGTATCAGTACGAGACTGTGTATCGGTACACTTCAACTGTTATCCGACTTCGAGTTACAATAATAAATGTGTGTCTTGCACGAGACAATGCCTTCAAACTAACCTTTCAATGATTAAAAGCATTTTGGTGTCAGGGCTACCTGACTGGCTGCGGCCATGACTTGGAGTAGGTGTTTGTATTGCCACGGACTTGTTCAGATGAAATGGAACCTGTAGTATCCCTTGCCGGTCGATTCCTGCGCCTAATCACGTCTATACAAATTGTTTTTAATAAATATACCAAAAACGTGCTCTACAAGCTTTGGGAATTTGAAATGATTCACTCGTTTTCGTCACTTATGAAGTATTGCTTAAAGTAGCATTTAGCTTTGTTAGACCTGATTGGCAACAGCACGTTCTCGGGCAATCAATGTCAGAGAGCACTATTGTTCATGAATCGTTTTGTGAAAATGGATGTGATATATCCCTTTGATGTATTTATGATTATAAATACATGGTGCACTTTAGCAATATAGTATTTCTCTAACGGCTTTGCATTTGAGGATACTTCCTTGATTTGCTGTCTCCATGAAAAAAGCTTTCTTGTTTAACACGACTTTTAAAAACATCTGTTACGGCACTCTGTGGTTTTGACGATGCATTTTGTTTGTAAAGAATGCACAGTTTGTTTGTTTGTTTGTTCGTTAACAATTGACTACGGTACATACTCTGTACATCCGTGGTTTTGTTGTTGCCTTAGCCATATTTATTCTACCATAGGAGTTTCAGTGTTGCTGGAACTATGCCTCTACATTGTATTGTTATGTATATTACCATGATTCATATTTTTCAACATGGTTATTAACCTGGCTGGGATATGATTTGATTGATTGCTTATTGTTCAACACCGCACTCAGAAGTAGTCCTGTGACATGGCGGCTGTCTGTAAATAATCGATTCTGGACCAGACAGTCTGGTGATTGACATCTCAAGGACCGATCTGCGCAGCTGGTGTACAATGATATACATCCACAACCCGATCACATTAGTCAACTCGTACGACAACGTTGGTTGTTTAATACCAATTCTTCACGAGTCACCGAGATATGACCATGATGGAACATATATATGTATGTTCTGCAACAAAAATACAGGTCAGCCAGTGAAAAAGCAAACAGTAGAATATATTCAGAAGCCTTTCCACATCAATAACATATGTCTGCTTAAACAATTTGACTGTACACTTCCGGCTGAATCGTGAGCATATGTTCATGAATCACTACCAAGTAGTGATGATGATGATGATGCCCCAGGTGGTCTCGAATAGGTGAGCGTATCTTGTCCCACCGGTGGCACCCAGCAAAAGCAAAGGCATTTGTTCACCAAAACATAACGGGACAAAACATTCTTGTTAAACACGTACTCTGTGGATTGCTATACATGTTTGGCGCAAATATCCCTATGTCATTGCCTGAGGTCACTTTGGGGAAGCCTTAAGGTTAATGAACTTGCTTGTCTCATGGAAGACCTGGGTTCGATTCCAAACATGGGTGCATTGTGTGAAGCCCGTTTCTGGTGTCCACTGCCGTGATGTTGCTGGAATATTGCTTAAAGCGGCGTAAAACCGTACCCACTCACTAAGGGATGAACCGGTCGAAAAAAGAAATAAATAGAGTAAAATTATCATAATGAAAATACGGAAATACACCTTTATGGAGAAAAATGTTTGCAGTTGTCGATGTTTCGATGTCGATTCTTTCATCGATATTAAGCTTGGGTGTAAAAGTGTGAGAATAAACAACGAAGCGAATTCACGACTCATCGTCATGTGCATGTATTATTAGAGATGTGAAATAAGATACTATCATTGTGGTTGTAAAAATGTATCATGATTATTTGGGGTCAAATGCTAGATTGGTAGGTTAAATATGAATATGAAAATGAAACATTCATGATTACCTTTACCACTTGCAAGTGTTCTGAGCGTTTATATGGGTTCAATGTGTGAAACCCATTTCTGGTGTCCCCCCGCCGTGATATTGCTGGAATATTGCTAAAAGCGGCGTAAAAATAAACTCACTCAATCACTCTGAGCGTTTATCGTGGGACCGCTGAAAACGAACATGCACATCGTTTGGATGCAAACAATTTTGGGGGTCAGCAAAACAAAGACTTGACTGATTCAGTTGACTTGAAATGAATTTGAAAATGTTTTTACAGTTGCCGCCGATATGGCAGGGTGTACTAACCTTATTAAGACTCCTTGGTATCATGGTGATCTTTAAGTGTGGTAAAGTCTCACTTCTATAATGAAATCTTTCGATTATAGATAAGAACATGTAACTGCTACATAGGAGCAAGCCAAATGATAAATGACTTTGCCTCTAATGCTTGATACACAGGTTCTGTTATCCCACTGACTACGCTGATTGCCGAACTCGTGTCTGGGCACTTTTTGCGATACTGTAATCTTGAAATAAGCGAGAGTGAAATTAATGTGTGCTTTCGTTCACTTATCACTCATGATAAAAGATTTCACTTCTTAACTCTTGGGACCCGTGACAATCCGAGTTACAACTGGTCTTCAGCAACCCACGCTAAGAGGCGACTAAGGCTTATTTGGTTGATGTCATCGTGTCCCATTTACGCAGATCTATGCTCATGATATCAATCACTGGATTGTCTGGTCCAGACTCGGGTTATTTACACAGCCATAACTTATACATTGTAGCTGGGATATTGCTGAGTGCGCCGTTAAAAAGCACATAAATCAAATCAATATCTTAACTGTTGATAAAATTTGATCACGTGTATGTTGCAGAAGCCAGAGTGACCTGACCCTTGACCTGATGACGGTCTCACGTGAGGGATCGGAGGTGTTCGGCGCCGAGATGCAGGAGCGTGTCAATCAGAGCGTTGTATACAGTGGTATACGGGAGAGCGATGGGTACGAGAACTTCTACGTACAAGCCCGCTTTGTAACGGGGCTGATATGCTATCCCATCGTGTGTGCATTTGGATTGGTTGGAAATGTTCTCAGTATTATCGTCATGTGCCAGAAACAAATGACGTCATCAACAAATGTGTACCTTCTCGCCTTAGCTATTTCTGATTGTATCAAACTCATCAGTGACTTTCTATACTTTATGGTGATTTTGTTATTGGAAATCGACTTCCCCAGAGGAAACAGGGCGTTTGGGTTTTTATATCCCTACGCGCACTATATTTTTAACTCATCGCTGTGTATATCGGCGTGGCTGACAGTGTCTGTGGCGGTGGAGCGATACATTTATGTCTGTCACCCGACCAAAGTGAAGCACTACTGTGGTATATCACGAGCCAGGACTATTTCCACGTCAGTGTTCCTCATCATGAGTCTTCTGGCTATTCCATACGCCATGCGTTACCGGACAGTCGAGCAATACAACAATACGACATCCCACCATTACTACGATCTACAGGTATCCGACCTGTGGATGAACGATACATTTTCAACGACGTATATATGGCTCCAGAACTTTCTGCGTTCAATCATACCGTTATGTATTCTCATAATCCTTAACACTTGTATTATCTACGGAATGAGACGATGCCGGATCGGCAGGTCAAAGTCGAGCAGACGACACCGCATCACCGTCATGTTGATTGTCGTCATCATCGTGTTTCTCGTCTGCATCACCCCGGATGCCATCATGTCGACATTCTTCGGCATCGGATATTATGAAGAGAAGTTCCTGCAACGAGGCGTCAGGGAGATCACGGACTTGCTACTTCTTGTCAATTCGGCTTGTAATTTTATCATTTATTGCATATTTAACACCATATTTTGGAGGAACTTTGTGTATTTATTCTGTAGACCTTGTTGTGGTCCAACAGTTCAAATGGAAGAGTCACAAATACGACGGTTGTCACTGGTGGGTCGACCACGCCCATCCTTGCACGTGCGAATAGGAAGCCGGAAGTTCAAAGACGGTCTTCTGTCAGAAGTCTGACACCTGTGAAATACACGTCAGTGGATCATTCTTCCGGTTGTTTATGATCATGTTTACTGAACATGACAGCACATAGCCAACAAACTAGCTGTTGTCAGGATTGGCCAACGATTTGTGCTGAGTAATCTGTGTGTGATCAGGGTATGTCTACCTGAACTTCACGAAACGGTGATCTAGTGTTGATGCAATGTCAGCGTATGAATGCTTTACGTGAGACCAACCACAAAGAAATCTCCGAGTGGCAATTTTATGAACCAATGTCGTGACTTCGCTATTGCTCAACGATCGTACTTCCTACTTGAGATTGATTTCACGTCGTTTGTTCAAAAGTAATTCCCTTGATAATTTCAATGTTTTTCTTTACACTGAAGCGTTGAGCCGAGCAACATACACATACGAAACTGTTTGTTGTGAGGATGTGTGTCCCTGTTGCACAGACCAAGCTGCTCAACAATCTCAGACCATTCATTCTATGTGTGATACAGCAACTGTGATACACCCTCGAAAGTTTACATTTTATATGAAATTTGTATATATTGTTCCGGGCTTCTTTGTACATGTCATGTTGGATGTCATCCCCCACTGCCTACGGAATGTTTATGGCGTCTTCACTTGGGCATGTCTTACCTGCTACGATTTATAACCGCTCAATAATCAGTTATCAACTGGTTATGTGAATTTGATGGTGCACTATGTATTTTAAGGGAACCATAAATATAACACTATCTAACGAATCGGTATTTCATGGAATTCTTCCATGAAATTGGACGTACATCCTCTAGTAATGCTACCTCCAAAATGAACCAATAGCATTGAAGACCCCTCACAATGCATAAGCTCATTGGTTGATTTTGGAGGTACAATCATTTTGCTGTGCTCAAATGAACGTGGGCGTTATTTTGTTGATAGGAAAATATCGTTTGAAAATCGAAGCTCGACTAAAAAATTCTTGATGTTTGTAACATTCCTGTAACTAAAACGCATCATTTCATCTTCACGTATCCATTAATCATTCAATAACTCTAACAACTGGAAAGAAGTCATGGATTCATTTGTAATGGCTCATTGTACCTGAGACTGCTGCTTAGCTTATGTATTTGTTTTCTACTGACGCTTGCCTTAGTGCTGTACTGCCTGTGTTACAGGGGACAATCAAAACTCTTGTTAAGGGAAGTGTACCATATGTTCATTCTTGTGTAAATAAACTGATATTGTCAACGTTTAAAGGTTACGTTGTTGTTCAAGTTTGCGTTGGCATGTCGACGTTTAGAACATCGTATACTCGTAATTAAGAACTTTGGAAACATAAGCTAGAGCATAGCTATATTAAAACGGATAGATTGCAACAAACAGCATATATTACGTCAGTAGTTAGACCGTACTTGTTCAGTTAATTTTCATGTTTCGCTACAATCGTCATTCAGCTTCGGCTATTGGCGATATTACAAATCTCTTCTGACAAAATTTCTTGTAGATCAAATATGTTGTTATTACAAAGCGCATACATGTGGTCTCACCTTAGGCAAGTGAAAAAAATGGGTACCTGGTGAATTAAGTCGTGAGACTATTAACCATCTAGCGCCTAACAAGCAGCTTGGGTTATCCGGGGTAATAATGATCAGATTGTGAGCAAAACAAATAAGTTCTTAAATGTTTAAACAACTTTTCATAAGTCTGCAATTGTATGTGGATGACCAAAGTCGCCATATACTAGTTGTTGTATGTCTTGTTTGACTCCTCTATATGACGGCGGTCTGTAAATAATCGAGTATGGTCCAAACAATCCAGTGATTGACATAGTGAACATCAGTCTACACAATTATGAAGCCTAACGGCGAGCAATAAACGTTAGCCATTGAAGACCATATCATGTCATATTAATTGGAAACTGTTGTATAACTGTATATAACTTATACCTACACGTTTGAGTTAGTGTTTTTACAATGATTTAACTGGCAATCCACTCGTTAAATTGTTTTATATCTACTGAGAAACAGATATTTACATTTACTGTAGAAACATTTATTCTGTTCGGTGACATATTAAGTCTTACGCTAATATGAATCAATTAAACCTACCACAAATTCGAATCCATATCGTCAAACATTTATATATATATACATGTTTTCAAGACCAAAATACATAAGAGAATAGAGGCCCATATATATATATACGACGTAAACAAACTAAATGTTTTCACGACCAAAATACATAAGAGAATAGAGGCCCAAAAGAGAATGCTCTTTTCTCAATGTATACTTAGGAAATCACATCATTTTAACCGCTGTTTTGCCTTTTACACCCAACATAATCTGTTTTGGCATATAATGTACACTGACAATTCTGTGGTTTCGACTTTGTTTATAAACTATAACGTCTCGGCGGTGTAATCATTTTGTTTGACGTCATACCACTTTGTTATATAGAGATTGTAAGTATACACAGACGGAGTGTTGTTAATTACATAAACAGACAAACCGATAGCTTCAAAGCCCATTGACAAAAATAGATCAAGTTTTCTTTAAATGAGTGATTAAAAGTTGAAATTGGGAATTATCTAAGTAATTGTTCACGTCTCTTGTACTTTCACCGCGATCTCGCAAAACGTGTAGAAAGCAATCTTTAGAACTGCTATGACCATGTCACTCTTAGCTGGATTATAGGAATTACATTCCCCTCCACTGCAATTTAGCTTTGTCAGAGCAGACAGTCATTAAGGACTTAAATACGAAGCCAAATGGCGCCACTTTGGAGGCATGAAATATTATTTTTAAAAGTTATTCCAATTCTTTGCTTATCTTCTTCGAATTTTTCTGGGGTTTTCTTTTTCATGTTAGTTTTATATTTTCGATTATTGTTTCGTTATTTCAGGTTTGTTAAAAAATCTACGTTTTGGTTTCTGACTCATTGCTTCCATTATTACTTCGTTATTTCAATTTTGTTTTTCAAAATTTCGAGTTCTTTCGCGTTACTTCGATTATTTTCTCATTATCTGAAGTTTCTTTCCACAACTCGGAAATTTGGAGACAAATTATTGAAATAACAAGAAATTGTGGTCATAAAAATACCTTATGCTACCAAATAACAGCGACCAAACCCTTTTCCACATCCGTAATTAATAAAAATCTGCTCAAAGAAGAGTCGATTGTAGAATTCCAACCATATCACGAGCACGTGTTTATGGATCAATATCAAAATAGTGATGATGCCAGGTGTATGAAAAGGTAGGCGTATCCTGGCAACTGTCATAAACACACTCAATGGCTAGTCAGTTTCTCACCTGAAACACAACGGGAATGTCAAAATAGGGAAATGTATTGGACAGCATTCTGGTCACTGGTAGGTCAAATGTTTAAACTTCCTCCACGTGTCCACTTTAAAACTTTGTGAAGGCTTAACTGCGGTCTTCAGTGATACAGCTGAGTAAGAGCCGTATGAGGTTCTTTGATATCTTGGTAGAAACAGCATACTCGATTGTACTTCAAAAGTTGTGATAAACAGCAAAAGCTAAATCAGTTGTAAGATTGAAATAAAATCTTCGATAAACCTGAAACTTAAGTTACACATCATATCCAGATTATCTTGTTTTGATTTTGGTAGCCCGAGCAGAAATTCTGATTCATGTGCATAAAGAAATAGATCAGGAAGGAAGAGAGTACAACTGGATGTTGTTTGTAAACAAATCGGGTCTGTACCATACAATCCAAAACAAATCTGCCGAATGATTGGTGTCATTTGTCCCTCTTTGTAGATTTGGCGTGAACATAGCTGCGTCTAAGCTTATAGATGAGGTGAAATTGGGTTTAACGTCGTGCTTGAGAATATTTCGCTCATATGACGACGTGCATGCGTGTGTATGTGTTTGTGCGGCTGCTTGTACTAGCCCAGACTGAAGCTGGTTTTATAGTGCTAGCCCACTGAGATACCATGCCGCAGTGAAGCATGAATACCCCACTCAGACACATTATACTGACTCCGAGCCGACCAGTCCTTGTTGTACCCATTAATGCCGAGCGCCAGGCAGGGACCAAAACGTACCGTATTTTAACGTCTTTTGGTATGACGCGGTCGGGGATCGAACCCGCGACCTTCCGCTCTCCGGGCGGAGGCTCTAACCACTACACCACGGAGGCGGTCCTCTACGCTATTATGATGCTGGAAACAGGCTCAATACATTAACGTTGGAAAGTTCTTTGGTCATAACGACTGGAAACGTCTTTTATTTTGTCATTACGTCCTTATTCCGGTCCTTTTGACATTCTAAGATGCCTTGCGGTTAGAACAATCGAAAAAAAAATACATTATCAGACAATAATGGTATTTTTTTTTGATGACGTAACAATTGAATGACGTTATCCCGTCACTGCGCCATTCTAGTGTGCCCCCTCGTAATCAAACCATTTTACATTACGTCACAATGTAAGCGACGTCACGATGCATGACAGTTGTCATCGCCTTGTATGGCCTACTACAGTAAACTACTCCGTTGCATCCCGTTTCCTGGTTTGCAGTTGCTTTCCGCAGCTAACATCACTGGTGGAAACATTACGTTTATGTTTTACGACGGTTAAAATGTGTCATTTCGACTCACAAGTTTTCAACGACACGGTAACGTTCGCAATGTTTACATTCCCACAATGCAATCGTGGAATGTCGCTTGACTACTCAGCTTCATCTGGATGTACTGATCTAAACTTACGTTGGTAGGTCCTCGTACTTTAACTATAATAGTTTAGGGCGAAAGTGTGTTTTATTACACTATACATGGTGGTAGAGCGAACTGTATTTCTTAATTCATACAAGTATAGGCTATTGCTGACCTCTTCTTTTCCGGGATTCCTGCCTGGAATTGTTAAAGAATATTGTCGAATCATTATATTCAGGAAACTTTTTTTCATATCTCCATCGCTTATTTTCTCAGCTTCTAATATTTAAGAAGTTTCCGCACGCTCGAAACAACGTGATAGTGCTTCATCATTTAGCAAGAGACGTACTTCAAAATAAATTGATCTCATCTAGAGATGCACCTGTATTTGCGCTGAGCATTTACTTGCAGCTTTACTGACACTCCACGTCATCGAACAATTGAACTGTCATTCACATCACCGACTTTAAATCTCTGACCTCACATGTGACCAGCACTCGACCCAGTCTGGGACAGGTTTACGTGTTACACAAGTACCTGATCAATCCTAGGAGGCGTTGCATGTGACACAGGTGTCATGCAATCGATGAAACTGACACTGAGGATATGACTCAGTGATGCTACGATGACAAGGCAGAAGAACTGCCTACATCTGCTGGTGCAGGATAGTGGAATACCTGTATTGAGAATTTGCATTTTCTAATATGTTTCGCCCACTACTAACAGACAGACAGACAGATAGATAGGATAGACATATGTCATGGAAGCAGAACTCAGACACAAAGTAATTGTAAGGATTCATAAGCCGTTACGTATACCATGCGAGCAAACGAACCCGGACAGTTGTTTTCGTAACGAACAATATAAGTTCTTTTCTAGGGCGTACCCGTATGATGATAGTGATTTTCAACTTATTACTATAATAAATATCAGAGATTTGCCATTCATCAATTCCCTCTTGATGGTACAATTTTGCAACGTGTCCACGTTTGATTCCAGTTAAGGTTTGTGTGTCTGTTTGGTTTTTTAACCCGGCACTCAGTAATATTCCAGCTATTTGACAGTGGTCTCTGCACCAGACAGTGCATTGATTAACATCATGAACATCTTTTGACGCAATTGGGAAACGATGAAGTGCATCAACCAAATCAGCGAGTCTGACTGCCCAACCCCGTTAGTAGCCTTTTATGACAAGCATGGGTTGCTGAAGACTAATTGTAACATGGATCTTCACGGTTTCCAGATAACGGTAATGTAGTGTTGTAAATGACCTTGATCTCATATGTTTGTTGATATTCGCGCAAAATGCAGAAACCATCTACCCGAAAATAAACATCTATGTTAAATGTTACCAGTTACCGATAAGATATTGATAGGCCAAAGAATATTTTTACAAAACAAATAAAAACGTTATCAAGACGCACTGGGTTTACAACAGTCCAAACTTAACGTCCAAAGCAAAACCAGATAACTGTAACAAACATATACATTGAATAACTATTTCTTGATTAATCCATTTTAGCCACCATCAAACATATGTGTATACTTTCTTTTGTCCGTCAGTTTCCTGGGTCCCCAGTT